ATTCCAGCAAGTAGCTCTTAAACGTGCTCCCCGTTTACGCACTTTCCCTGATAAAGGCGTTTTTCTACGCCCATCTCTATCTAAGGATGAGAGAGTGCGATTACGTGAAGCCCGTTTGGCGAAAAAATCAGAAAATAGGTCTGCTGCCGTTAATGATTGTCATCAAAATAGTAACTCCGCCGTTGTTCACAAAACACTCCTTTGAATGTTCGTTCCACAAATTCTGTCATTTGTTCACAAAACGCTTCTCTGAATGCTCATTCCGATATTGCATTGTCGAAAAACGTTTGAGTTATCCGCGGACATCTCCGTTCAAGGTCAATTGTGCTTTATCAAATATCAGGTCCTTGGTTAAAAATGCAGTCTCTCTAGAAACATTCATGCGAAGGGAAAACTCCGATCTTATTATATTATGTGAAACATGGCTAAATTCGAAAATTGATATTTCCCCGTTACTTGGGGTAGTGGCAGCACAGTATGAAGTTTTCAGAACTGACAGGCTGAACAAGAGAGGAGGCGGAGTAGCCCTTTTGCTGAGACACCCCCATTCTGGTAGTACAGTGTTTGGGGAATCGGTTAAGGACGCATACGAAATACTAGCGTGCGATATTTACTTTTACTCCATGGAACTTAGGATCATAGCCGTGTATAGAGCGCCGTCGTGTTCTTCCACAAAAAGTGAACAACTTATCAAGGCTCTCAGTGATCTGTCTTCCTGTGACAAAGTGTGCATAGTAGCAGGTGATTTCAACCTTCCTCATATGTTCAGCTCTCCCGCAGTGCTAAATGATTCCTGTTGTACAAAATTTAGCAACATGTTTACGTCACACGGGTTTGTCCAAATCATAGATTTCCCTACAAGATACAGTTCGCTGTTGGACTTGCTACTATGTAATGACTTCTCATTAATCCACTCAGTAGCTTCCTCTCCTCCGCTAGGTACCAGTGATCACAACGTTGTTAAGTTCAGCCTTAAAGAAAGCTTTAGAGCTAACAGGCATAAAGTATGTAGAGATTACAAAAACGGGAATTTTGAAGCTATGAGAGCATACCTAGCAGGTGTAGACTGGTTCGGATCCTTCAACAATGTCATGGGAGTTAATGAAAAGTATGAAATGTTCATAGCAATCTTACAGCACGCCATCAATATGTACATTCCTTACAAGATGGGAGTGGTAAATAAATTTCATAACCTACCTCAATATTTAGTTTCAATGGGAAAGACCAGAGAGCGGTATTGGGAAAAAGCAGTCTCTTCTCAGTCATCAGTAGAATGGAAACGGTTCCAGAACTTTAGCAAAAAATGGGTGAAAAAACTAAGTAAGTACTATGCCTATATTGAAAAGAAAAAAATTAGACAAAGGAGGTTTGAAAGCACTATACGCCCTGCTTAGGATTAGGCTCACAGATAAACACAGAATAGGCACTCTCTCGGGAGCAGGATCACATAGGGCAATTTTGGATCGAGATAAGGCTGAGCTGCTAGCGGATACGTTTGAAAAGTCATTCGGATTTGAGTCTGGTACCACGCAAGATTCAAAATTTCCTAGGGTACATGTTAGTGATTCTGCCCCATGGTTTGACCGAAAAACAATTCTAGATATACTCCTAAAGTGGTCATCGGCATCTTCTATCAATAGCGAGAATATACCATTCATTGTTGTGAAAAATTGTATCTTCGAAATTTGCGCTCCTCTTGAATTTCTATTCAACTTAAGTCTCATGCGAGGCGAAGTACCGTGCAAATGGAAGCATTCTATTGTAATACCTCATCCTAAAAAGGAACCGTTGTCGAGTCCAAGTAATTACAGACCAGTTAGTCACACTTCAATTTTTTCCAGAGTCTTTGAGAAAGTAATCAAGCGTTACTTACTAGAGCACATCGAGAAAAATCATATTCTACCCGCCACACACCATGGGTTTTGTAAGGGCAGGTCAACTGAAACTTCTATGCTGTCTTGCATGAATGATTGGACTAAAGCGCTAGATGCCAGAAAAAATGTTGACGTAATATATTTTGATTTTAGCAAGGCATTTGACAGACTGCCACATAGGGTCCTATTGAGCAAACTTTCTCGCTTGGGTGTCCATCCCCTAGTTGTAAACTGGGTTAAAGCTTACCTCGACAATCGAACGTTCCAAGTTCAAGTAGGGGAAGCACTGTCTGAGGTACGAGTCGCAACCAGCGGTGTTCCACAAGGTGCAGTTCTATCACCCGTGCTTTTCAATATGTTTACGGCTGACCTTCCTTACGTGCTAGAGAACCTCGAAGTTACTTGCAATATTTTTGCTGACGACATCAAGATTTACATGGTGACTGGAGATTTAGATTATGAACCCTCACTGCAGCTTGCAATCAATAAGATTGTAGGTTGGGCAAAGGATAACGGGCTTCTTTTGTCTTCGGAAAAAACTCAGGTCATGCGTTTGGGAGCTTCTACCCGCAAACCGGTGTATTACGTGGAAGATGTTGCACTGAAAACAGTGAAAGAGGTGAGGGATCTGGGGTTCAACTATGACAGCAAATTAAATTTTAGCAAACACTATAAATGCTGGTAACTAAGGGATTGCGGAGGACCTTCAACCTGTTCAAGGCCCTGAGAACAAGAGATACTAGCGTGTTATTGAGATCATACAAGCTATATGTGCGCCCAATTATGGAGTCCGGGACCGTCGTATTCAATCCATGAAAAAGGATATATACGCACTTGAAAGTGTGCAGAATAACTTCACGCGTAAATTGATGCTTAGATGCGATGGATTAAACTACATGGAGATACCCAACGGAACCCTTCGGAATAGGGCTTATGGGTTGAAATCACTGGAATGGAGAAGAACTAGAAACGACTTGCTAATGGTATTCAAATTATTGAAAAACTTAGTGAAAATCAAAGCAGATGACTTTTTCCGTGTGCTGCCATCTAACTCAAGAGGCGCTTCCATTAGACTCTCATCTATATATGCCAGGACTCACCTTAGATCGAAGTTTTTCGGTAATAGAGTTTGCTCAAGGTTCAATTACCTTTTGCGGAGCAATGTCTTACAGTTCAAATATCAAGTTTTAAGCGACATGTGGGAGATTTTGTAGAGACTACGAATTAGTTGTAAATTGCTATATAGAGGATTATACAAATGATGTTGTGTTCTGTTGCATTACCTGGTTTTAGTTTTATTTGCGTTGTAAGTTTTATTGTTGAATGTGCTCTGTCACGTCAACCGAATAAACGAATAAACGAACCTTAATCGACTTCAAAATATGGATGACGTCACGCTGAATTCATTCAGAAATACTGGAGAATAATCGAGCTATCCTCGTTGCTAAGGATGTTTTTTTATGAAAGAGTCAGAATCTGCATCTAATTTGGTGCTGAGCCCTTAATTATCCTTCAATGGCTCACCACGATGCTCCCCGCGCAGCATGGGTTAGGCTGGAGTGGCCAGCGCGTAGGAGCGACCTTAAAATCACGATCAATGGATTTTCGGCACCCGATCAGTGAGATTCGTGAGTACGCCCGCACCTACGCCATGGCTGTCGTGTAATAACTGAGTGAGTAGGTTGCCTAGCAAGCGATCTGGGCACTTACTCACGCCGCAGCGCATACGTCCATTTGCGGCACTGTCTTCCGGTTTTCTCCTTTAGTCTTTTATATATCAACCGGTGGGAGTCCCTTACATCGTTACATACACGACGATATAATGATAACTGAAGAATACATAGCGCGCTAGAGCCGATAGACTAGAAGTATATAAGGATCAAGGAGGGTCAACCATAACTTCTGTGTTCATCTTAATTTAGTTAGAATTCAGTTATTGCCGCAAGATTAACGAGTTTACAAGCCACAGGACAATGAATGGCAATAGATAATGAAATAGGTAAATGGGCTATGATGGTGATTGTGAGTGAGAAAATCATGTGAACTGATAATGAACTGTGCAAAGAAGAAGCGAGAGAGGACGCAATGTATGATATAATCCTGAATTCCATGAGACAGCGTGTCCGCGAGTTATATCCTGTTAATTAATGCTTAGACCCGTTTGGAGAAATCTGTTGGAGATGAAACGTATGAGTTGATTGGTGAACGGATAAAATCATGAGTCTTACAAAATTTTCGGTCAGAGCTGTTCGGCATCTAAACAATTTTCGAACAACCATCCACTACGTAGACAACGGCAACCCAGCTGACATTTCGAGATCAGTTGATAACAGGTACGGAGGTTTCGAGGATCCGGCAGGTGAAATTATTGTGTGTGACTGCAAGACAGTACATCTAGTCATGATGTGTTGGAATTAGGGGTGTTCAGCATCAGGAGCGTACGGGACAGCAGGTCGTAGTGTTTGAGTCGAGCGTGTGAACTGAGTGCGGCGAGACAAATAAGCAGCCAAGAAACGAGAGAGACTGTGACTTGTCACCGTGGCTTGAAGAGATATGCGCACCACAGAGTTTGAGTCGCCATATAATCATAATTGACTAACGACACTTCGCTCTGAGTGTATCGCCAAAAGACTAACGCCTCAGCACAGACACCGCTTTAGAATTGACTCTGACACGGAGCTACTAGCAACTCCATTGAACGAGTTACCCGTGCGCATGCTAGTGACGATTCTCAAACTAGCTATGTTTGTAAGATCTACATACGATGTCTGTTGCACAAGGAGAACGCGACTTTTCATGCTCGTATATCGTCTCTCGGGAGCGTCATGCAACCTTCATTACACAGGGCAAAATTACGATTTGTCTTCGCCCGTTTTCCCTGAGTTTCAACCGGCCATCTTGCTCAGCTGAATTGAACGTTCGATACCAAGCTCTCGTTCAACAAACCTCGGATCGAGTGGTTTCTGCGCAACAACCAAAACGGAATAAATCACGTCACCTTGAACACTCGAATGAGTTGCTTTTCGAGTTTTATGCAGTCAGTTCCCTTCTCATTCGCATCCATAGGAAGCGGAGCCTTGTAGAGCGTGCAGCAACGGCTTCGCGCATCAGAAGAATATGACTCGCTCAACATTCTCTCATAGTGTCATTTGTGCTGAGCAGTTCCAGCACAGGAGTCTCGAACTGTCGGTGGCCAGTGGGCGTGTCCATAGATGGATAAGTACCCAGAGGAGTCGACCGCTGCTTAGTAAAATAATTTTTTAAAGAGTGTAACAATGTTTATTTAGGAATAAACGAACGCGAGGAGTGAGAGCGGGTGAGTGTGAGGTTTTTAACGCGATCATGCGTGTGACAATTCGAGTCCGCAGACACGGCATTGCTAATGTCACATTCAACCCGTGAACAGCGGCAAGGTGCCTTCAGCTGACAGGGGACGCGGATGCCGGAGTACTTCCTTCCTGTTTCGGAGCTACGGGATTGAAAGGTACGTGGGCGGACGAGAGTGGATGATGGGTGACGGTCGTTTCAAACGTGCTCGTGTTAATTTGTGTCTACCATGGGAGTGCGGGGTAATGGGCTAACGCGTGCGGTGAGGGTGTTTCTAGGGCGTATGGCCACCCATCTGGAGCGGGGTGTTTAACGGACGTCGACAAGATAGTGTATCGCAGTCCGTAACCGACTCGTTTCGAGCGTTTTCGCGGACAGTTTAGAGGTTTTGGCGGGCAGTCGCTGGAAACGCTGGCGTACGCCCGAGACGCTGTATCGATATCTATAATTTCCCAGTCGCTCAGACTCGCTGCTGTACGCTGGCGTATACTATGAGCCCTGCCGTAAACTAGATCGATACATAGACTTTCCTATTTGTCAGAATGCTCAAAACGCTGACGCAAAATATGAAGCTCAGGGTCGAGAAACACGCTGAGCCAAACAATTCACAACAAAGCAAAACAACAAACAAACAACAACAATATAAATGCTCTCGAACAGTAACCTTATCTGTGTGATTTGTGGAGCCGTCTGACTTATTACCAACAAGAATCACTGGAATCTCATGCTCCGGACCATAAACATCACGCAATAATGGAAGCCATCTAGGAAAATAAACATGTAGTTACTTTGTGAAAACTCTGCGCCCAGTTTCAAAAGCCATTTCTCACTTGTCAGTAACCCGTTTTATTGTATTGTCATCGGATACCGTATAAACAATGCAAACAACATTTGCGTGCTTCAGTTCGGAAGTGATGTATTCCTCACCTAAGACATCAATTAAAAACTAGTGGGAAACTGTATAAAAATTTTGGATGTATTTTCTCACCTTCGTTCCCTACCGAGCAATCAACAATGGATGTGGTGACGTTCTCTGGAGTGACATCAGCCGGAATTAGTACCCTGCGAAAAGTCTTCTATGACAATTTACAAGGATTAGAAGTCTACAGACTAGACCTGAGCTTTCTGAAGCGCAGTGATTTTCCGCTCTAGTATGCGTCCTTCCTTGTGTAGCGTTCTATGATTACAGTGTTGTGTACAATGTGTGCAATGAGGGACTGCTACTGCCAAGGCATCGTGAGGTACAAAAAACACGATGCGAGCCAGGAGATGAGTTTTTTTCGAGGGGAGGGGACACCGGGGTGGATGAGCCACTTAGTATGCGTGAAAAGTTGGAATGTGAAAGATCAAAGTGGCCATAAATCGCCACTCAGGCAAGAGAGCGCAGAGAACAACAGAAAGTTGGCGCCATTAAAGGGATTGAGTTTTAGTTGTCCGTAGGCCGCTTGCAGCCCGGACAGCCAGTTTATATACACTTAGGGTAACAATCATCTGCATACACCTTTGTAACTGTCACTCTAGAGCACGTTCTATACATCTAACATTACTACGATGGTAAGTTGAAGCATAAGACTTCCACTCCGTTCCCCAAATAAGTATCAAACCACTTTTGACAAATACCTGTCTAATCTAGCTGGTACATTTTCAACCCATTCATCTTCAAGAAGGCTCATCACCAAGGACGTTTTCCCGACGCCAGGCTCTCCTACTAGGAGGATTCTCACATCGGCCTGCACTTCTTCCGCCATTCACTCTACTCGATGAGAGGAACCTCAATCCAATCATTACATGATAATCGGTGAGAAGAGGAGACACAATCTACGGAAGACCAGCTCAAAAGAAGTATCGTAATTGGTTCGCAGCACCAACAAGCATTTGTCCTATTCTTCATGGGGAGAACCATTTATGCTTTCAATACTACATTAATCAACCAACAATAACAAGAATTTCTGTAACAACTGCAACATATATCAATATAGGCTCTAGAACTGATCACTTAAGAGCTTCTAATTCGCGACGGTGTTTTCTCGTGACTTTAGCTCGGACTTCTTCTTCGATTCACGCTCCTCCTTCTGTTTGAAATTGCGTGTCTCCCTTCGCAGTTCTATTTCAAACAGTTCTTCCTGGTAGACCTCCCTGTAAGAGAATACGTTTTTTTTTGTAGAATGGTGCTGCTGTCTCGAAGAAAGAGGTCACCTAAAGATTGGTATCAGTTTCGGTACCAAGCCGAGCTGGTCGAAGCGAACACTCAAATTGTCCATGGCCACACCAACGTTTCCTGCCTTCTCTAGATATGCCGGGAGCTCAGGTACCTTAAAACGAAGTTTGTTCAGCAACGTAGGCAAGAAAGTCATCAGTACAGTGAGATATTTGAAAAAACGGAGCACTGCACTAGAAGCAGTCTAGCTGTAAGTTTCACGCTAAATCCGAGAAATAAACAAGATGGGCAAATAAAAAAAGCGCATTAGGTAAACAAATAAAGAAAACGAGCTCAGTGTAACAATCAAATTTAGACAGAATAATCGCGATAATGATTGAGCAATGCCGTTTGGTGCTCAGCTTTTGTTTGCGGGATCCAAAAATGTATGGACACAGCCTCGCAAAATGAGTATGAAGAACCAAAGAAATCAAATGAAGTGGTTCTTTCCCCGAGGTTAGAGTGATACGGATAGTAGCGCACATTGTGAGCTGGGCTAAATATGTAATCAAAAATATATGTCATTTGCTTGGTAGACCCATTACAACATTCATTATCCAATACGGTCCCCTACCCCTCACAGAGTCGAATCATTTCCGCTGAATCAGGCTGTAACGATGTGGTGACGACAGCTTATAGCGGGCCACAAAATAGGACAAAACAGAAAAAGGTCCATACTGCTCCAAGGCAACGTAGAACCAACACTTCAAAACAACGTCAGAAAAGAAAATGACGCGACTAAAACTGAAGCCCTAAGCGCTGACTCTGACAAAGTCTAGCTTGATTGATATTTTTGTGCTACCTAGCGTAGTATGGGAGTGTTCATCGAATAATGGATGAAACATGAGTATCAGAGTAATTGGGATGAATTCACCATTCATCAGATAAGAAGAAGAAAATGATAAAGTTTGGCCAAGAATATTCAAAACGTTTGAGGGCTAATGAAAATTTGAAATGAATCTGTGAATCTGAGAATGACTCACTAAAAAGTCTATATAAATGTAGTCTACGTACATGTCAAGAAAATTCATACCTTTGGATATCTGGCGCTAAAATGAGTCAAAATAACATTTCGTGCCTTCATCTTCCGACCAATTTCAACAGCCTGGCCCATCGTTGAATGCTTTTTCTTCAGAGCGTCCGCCTGATAAAGAGATACATTTTCGAAGAAAAAAGATAAGATTCTGCAGATGTACCTCATGTCCATCTTCGAATGTAGCCTCATGGATGAGAAGGTCAGCGTTTTGCCCTTCCTCTACCAACAAATCACAGGGTTTCGTATCCCCGGAAAACACCACTCGCTTTCCATTGACACCGAAAATGAATCCGTTCGCCATTCTTGTGTGGTGCACCTGAAATATTTCAAAACGATCTTCGCCTGATAACACCAGTATTGATCTTGAACCCCTGATAGCGCTTTGGAAAAAAAAGGGATGAACGGCTTAGCATCTATCACTCACCTGAACAGCCTTTATTTCCTGAATATTCCACATATTCTCATCGAAAAGCGGCCGGGGCATTTGGTCTATGACACTACGGCACGCTGACAGTACCGGAGACGGCAATCGCCGCCTTTTCAGTGGAGGGCCAGGGCTGAAAGGATGAACCATTTTGCAGAACTTTCCGGAATAGCCTCACTGCTTAGTTTTATAAGCGAGCTGGCCATATCTCAATTGAGAAATGGGTCAAGCTGGTCAAGCAAAACAGAAGAAAAGAAGGCAAAAAAAGGCAGCATCATCAAAGACTAGTGAATGGAAAGGTTACCTTGCGGGAGGTGTAATCGGATGTCTTGATATATCAACTATCTCCACTAACGACTCGAGATCAAAGAAGCACATCGAGTAAGTTTTCAACGGCTTTAATACATTTCGATTACAGACTAGAACCAGAGGTGTGTACTGTCTTCCTGGAATGGATTCAACGCTAAAAAATGACAAACAAGATGATAGAGCAATGTACGATTACAAAGTATCGCAAAAAAACAAGCAGAAAAACTAACCAGAGCCTTCAATCGCCTCCTTACGCCGTTCAATGATTGTATACAGGCCATTCATGTGATCTTGATGAGCGTGTGTTACAAAGACGGCATTCAATTTGCACAGCAGCTGAAACCCCAATGAAAATCGAGGAACAGTGAAGTGCTGTTTGAAGTATTCCAATTTCCAAAACATTTTTCCGTTTTTGAGATTCAATATGACAGACTTTCCAATAAAAAAAAGAACCTAGTGTCGGGTTATGAGATTCCCGATGAAGAAAAGAATGAAGAAAAGTCAAACTAGAATAAGTGAGCCGAGACCGTGCTCAAAAAGGTTAAGATTGAGGATAAAAGGTTAAAATCCTTGCCATCGATCGATCCCTTTTCTGGGATGTAGCATGCATTCGATTTCCATTCAGATTTATAAAAGCATATGGAGAGAGATATGTCTATACAATGACTTCCGTGGCCAGCTGATGTATGAGTCAGTGTCCTTACCTTTCTAGAAATGTCTGGTACCAAATTACCGTCACCGAGGTGTAGAAGGCTCTGATGGCCAGGGTGGGAGGCGATTGACCGCGCGCGTGGTAAGCATGCCACTTGCTACCACTGTTCAATGAGTGACTGCCTTATGCAAAACAAGGAGGGGGACAAAATCACTTGCTGCCCGAGAAAGTAGTGTCAAAGGACAATCGTTTTGTTTGGCATATCTATTTATTTACATAAATGCGCTCGAAATAGCTTGCGGGTCTCAATCCCTTTTCAGATAAAGTCCTAGAGTATCACTGGAAAAGGGATCAATAACGATTTTTTGTGCACATCAAATAGAGGCGAAATTGCTTAAAGATTAACACCTACCTCCGAACATCCATCATCCCCAAATAAAACGCGCAGTTGCCCAAAAGTGCCTTCGCCCACATCGATGAGTACAGCTGATGATGAACTGGACTCCAAAAGATAGCTGCTGACATTGCGGTATTTAGACGGCACCGCCGACGATGTTCCCAAGAAAGATACTCGGGGATATTCACTGTCCATGGAAGAAGTAGCACGCAGTCGTGCCGCATCTGGAATTACATGAATCAGCATTCCAGACAAGAATAGTTTTCTAGTATAAATCCTTTCACTCGTCGTGTCCCTTCGTACAAAGAATGTGCTGGCATATTCTAGGGAATGGGATGTTACTTAAACCAGCTTCAGCTAACACTGTCCTTGATACTTCTAGCAATAACTAATCAAACAGAAATGAATAGAATAACCCTTTACAGGATAGGAACCCCCTTTTCAACTATTTCAGAGGAATGCAAAATTTTAGCGAAGCGCACAGCAAGCAGGGCGCATTTCAAAAGAAAGCCTGATACGGTGCACAGAGCCGTATCCGACTTCAGGCCAGCGGTACAGTATACTGCTTATTACTAGTGCTTACAGCACTTTCAGGATACTTTCTAACCGCAAAGCCTCCTTTCCCCCTCTCTTTTACCTTCCTCCTTCCTTCCTTCCCATCCTCCTCTCATCCCTCCAAAGTTTGAACAACAGATGCAGTGAGAAACCCCTCAGCAAGATAATGTTTGGTTGACAGAAGCCCTGTAACCCGCACAAGAAGTATCAGCCCCACATGCATATTCCCAATAAAAAGATCCACAGCTGTAGATATACTAGCGAAATACTTAAAAAAATTGTTATGGAAACAGTAATGAAAACCTTCATGGAGATCCTCTATCAACTTCTTAGTAGTGTCTGTGAAATTGGGATCGGTGTCACGCAGATCAGCAATTATGGGCTCTTCTCCACTGCCTGAAATTCCTAAGTATTACGAAACCCGAGACACCTAACTAATGCAGAAGTGAACTACAATTCAGCCAATGAAATGTGAAATGAGAAATGACAAGCACCTCCCGCTCGCATCCAAAATCGCTGCAAAGGCGCTGCCTTGATGTATAATCCATCCTGCACCGCCAGCTCACTTCCTTGAGTGACAAGCCCAGTCCAGCCCAGCGGATGTAACTGTGGGAACAAATCTGGACAAATTTGGTTGAGCAAGCGGTGATTTCTAAATAATTCCAAAATGCAGAAGTAATCAGTTCAGTAGCTAGCAAAAACTTATTTGTAGAACAACAAGTCAAATATTACCTGAAAATACTTTCAATACCAGGCACATGGGGACACGAATCGTTCACGACAATGTGTGTAGACTTCTCGCCAAGTGATGCCACAAACTTCGCGTAAGACGGTTGTTGCACGATGTTCTGACCGCTCAGATGAACCACGTAATCGATATGAGAAGACCCGTTCATGAAATTCTGAAATTTGAAACGAACTTTACTTATCACTACGCGCGCAAAAGAGAATGGAACTCTGTATATATTGAGGAAATCCTCAAAAAAAAATCCAAGACCATTTTTTTGCTTTCCCTAACGCATCGTTCCACATCTCTAAAATCCACCTCACAACCGAAAACACGTTAACCCTTGATATAAACAGGAGAAAGTGATGCACAAGCTGAGCAAGGAATGGATGAAAACTAAAAGATAAACCACGGAAATCTCTGAAAGGAACGAAATGATAAATGAATACCTGCAAAACAGAATTTTCACGTAAAGCGTTGATGTGAGCTTCACCTGAACACTCGAACACAAGTGCTCTGGACTTTTCTTCCTAGGAATAGAAAATTTGAACTCAAAATAACAGTATACCATAGTCAATGTCTGACTCGGTAGGGCTCTCAGAAAACATCTCTTAAAACGATTTCACCTTCGGAGCCTCGTCTGAAAAAACATCGCTAGGCCGAATCGTTCGCCCATCAGGAAGCTGCACGGTGTCACCACTCTTGAGCTTCCCTATGAGGGGACCTTTGGGAACCTGGCAACAAGTTATAAGGACTGCGGTGTGGAAATTAAAACAAACATGGGATACCTTATGTGCAATCAACTTCAGCGGATCAATCCGTCTTGGAGGCGATTTTAGTTCAATAAAATAAGCTACATTGAGCGAGCCTGCCTAAAGTGTTAGGTTAAGAAAGCTACTTTAAACACGTGGTAATCCTTCTTTCACAAATATTTCATATACCATTGCTTGAATATACAACCTGCGAATTTCGAGCCGAAGATATGAATCCGTAGATGTTGATGTAAGCTCACTCACCAGTGATCAAAAGAGTACACAAAACCGTCGAAGGCGCCCCAATTAAGGACTTGGGATCAAAGATACGAGACAGTGCCGCACAGGAGAGAGATCAAAGATGAGGGGGGAAAAACGAACCAAAAGATGAGAGGGTCCCCAAGGTGATACGACTGTTTGTAAGCGTGAGACCACTGGCACTTTTCTTTCCCAAAATGCTGAGGTCCCTTTTATGCGTGGCGCACCTTCAACTTATGAAGATCGCAGTGTCTCCCCAAGCACTGTTGAGCTGTGAAAAATGGAACAACGCAGTGTATCCCCACCCATTGTCGAGCGAGAAAAATGGAACAACTCCTGGGACTGCGGACCAAATTACTTGCACGACCAATGAATTCTACCTCTTCTGGGAACGAAGTGTGTCTCCAAGCAAGCAGTAAAATTCATGGATATTTGCTCTATATAAGTAGTGTGGAAAAGCAAACTGCACAGCAAATGTTATAAAAACCACCTTGCTATCTGAGTCATGAAGAGGAGCACTCAACGGTAAATATGTGACTGCCAGTGCCGCATCCTCATAACTTTCCAACGTATATGGCCTTTCCTCCACCTAAGCACCCAAATAACAACTGAGTGGAGTTTCAGAAAACAACTCAATTATTTGCGTACCTGGGAGGGGTACTTCGTTGACCCATAGTCAGAATCTTGAAACGGACGAATACATTCCAGAAAATGTTTTATGTTCATTGCACCATGGATACGTGTAGGTAAACAGTTGGACTCTTTTGATAATAAAATCGACGATATACCAGCTATATTATCCCATGTTGCTGAAAACACTCTTCTGAGTCAAAACAACAGCTGAAATGGTGAAGCAGTAGCATACCAAATGGACCATGCTTTCTTTCATATCCTTAAACCTTATGTGCTCCTCTCGGAAAAGGAACGCGTTTTTTGCCATAACTCATCTGAGTCTGCGCCGTGATTCCTTGCTTCTTGCTTATTGTCACACTTCACTTTTTTCTAGTCTTCTTTGCCTAATCTATCACTAACACTGCATGCTCAACTACCCTTTCGTGTTGTATCGTGCCCATTGGGAGAAAAATCAAAAAACGTATAAGTCACCGTTCCTTTTAACAAAGAACAGGTGGGAGAAAAGGATGATAAATCTATTTTAAGAAACCTGTACAGTTTCATGCTCGCCGCGCGCTTGTTGGAATGTAAAGAAAGGGTGAACAATAGGCTGATGGTTCTAATACACTGAGCGACACTTCCTGCAATTTCAAATTTCTTGCATTCATATAAGTAAAACCCCTCCGAGGCTTTACGTAAATCGTCATGAACTCGTAGAATTTGCTGCCTCGTCTTAGCATTGCCAGAAGCGGTCATCAAAAAAGAACTACTTTTTGTCGTCCCCACGCAATCTCTATAGCATGCAACAAACGTTTTGAAACGCTTTCAAATATAGATTTCACGACCCGCAATATTTCTCATGTAGTGAAACTTGATGGAAAGACGAAAAAGGAAATAGCAGCAAGTGCTTCGTACAAAGGTGAGAATAACTGGGAGTCTACCTCAAGGTTTCTACACCTACGCCTTGGCACTCGCATCCAGTGATGTTCTCACTATCACCCCCACTGACATCAGATGATCACAGTTATGCCCACTACAAGGCTATTCAATTCATAAATAATGGTTAATTATAAACTCTCATAAACAGAACTTACATCGTGTAATGAAGATGTCATTGACATTGAGCGCCTTGAGGCGTAGTTGAGGGAGAAATCGAGAAGCACCTTCCGGACAATTGAATAAATATGTTTTTAACGGAGTGCGAATGGCAACACATGGACGTAAATGACACGATCCATTTCCTAATATCTGAATAGGAATTCCAAAAGGATGATTCTCAGAAAACACAATGCAGGTGAAAATAGCTAAAGGAGCACAATATATATGATAAGGTATGAAAATGATCTTAAAAATTATTGAGTTTTGAAGTAAAACTATCAGGCAAGCAAACAGCTGCAGGTCTGACATATGAACTGTTTAAACCCGAACTTTGTATAGATCCAAAACTGAACGAAATTAAAGTCACCAAAAATACACACAACAGTTAACAAAAACTGAGGCTTCCAGGAAAAAAATGGCCTGTTTCAGTTGCTTTCAATCTGGCCACACATTTTCACGTGACTGAAATCTTGGTTCTTCTTATGAGTTTGCTAGACAACGACAAAATATTTTACAGATTCTACGTGGTTATTAATAAACGGAATTGGAAAAGAGCACCTCACCTCAATCGACACATGGGCTGGAATATTTGCAATCGAACTGGCCGGTGAATCAAATGCATCGCGATGCTTTTGCTGTGCATTATTCATTGAAATATTTAAGTTAGCGATTGATGAGCTGAGCTCTCGCGCTCTGAAAACAAATAGTCGATATATATTGTTTGACTTGCAGCAACGTTTGCAAGAACGAACTAACTTAATATGGGACAAAGAGTGTTTCCTTAGGATCTGTCGGTTTCTAATGATCTTCTTTTCGATTTCAGCCAAGAAATCCTTGTCGAACTCTGCAGCGTTTTTCTTCTCGCTTTCCAAGAGAGGCGATGTAAAAACTGGACGAGTGCTAGAACTTCACTATAAGTTGAAGACAGCATATCGTAGCACAGCAGCACCTAGTAGTACGTTGGGATGCGGCTAATGTTTCAGATGAGGACAAAATAGCTACCTATGACAATTCCTTCACTTAGTCTCCATACTATGATAGTGACTGACCAATGAAAAAGCTGAAGTGAGGAGGACACACAAGCGTTTTTCTTGGAAACGTTCAGAGTTGGCCTTTCTTGGAAGCAAAATAGATGATCCGTGGTTGCAATGCTTTTCGTGTTTGATTTGGCCTATCAATTTTTACCCGAACAATTCTTGAAACTTCCCTGGAGAAGAACTAGGGCCAAGGAATAGCGCAAGCAAATAGAACAAAGCTCACTCACCACTTCCTAGAGAAAACTATGAGCGAGTGTAGTCTTAACGAAGCGTTCATCGATACATCACTGAAATTTTCAAGATTTATATGTATTTTCTAAATTTAGTCGTTATGTACAGATGGATAACAATAGAACTGATAGGTGCTACCGAACTCTTTCACCAAGCTTCACAAATTTTCAAAAACTCTTTTGTTCATCTCTACCGATCGACAAAATAATGACAATCATGATTCATTGCGCAGTTCCAACGCTTTACTACCCTATGAAGTCGTGGAATCCAGAACTCCGACTGTTTTGACGAAGCGCGAGATTATACGTATTTCTTAATCTTTACCAATGCTTCCTGTACATTGATAAATGCAGCTTCAGTTCACGGTACGGTTTGCATTCAGATCAGGTCAAGCTAGGGGAAAGGGGAGTGCGCAAAACTCCCCAGCCAAGTTCGATAATTTACTGGTGAACAGGCTCTGCTGTTTGCTTTGTTTCAGAAGGGGCATTACAGGAAGTAGAGTACAGCGATCATCTTATGAATCAGGCCGAAGCGCATCCGCCAAACGGTTCTCAGGTTGAGCTGAGCTGTCATAACTTTTTCTGTTCGTGGTGAACATACAATTCTCAGTTTCAAGTCTCGTGATAAGTTAAAGTTCTACTGGTGTGGGTGCAGAAGCCACGAGGACACACATTCACTTCATAAGCCGCGATAATCTGGTATAGATTTCACGCTGCTTCAACTCGCAGCAAACTTTTTTGACTTCCACTACCTGGGCACCCTTGAACTGTCGAACGTGCTGTTTTGCGTAAGATGTGTTACAGCCTTATAGGAGTATGCAGCGATAAATAGGAGCAAGAAGACCAGCTGACCGTATAGCTGGTCCGAGGGGTAGCCAGCAGGACGATTGAAGACGCAGGTCTTTCTATAAGGTCACAGAAAAAAAAACACTGCTTATCCAAATAGCAATTATATTAGGCAGCCATGGTCCTGCAATACAGCCAAGCCGAACGAGTTAGGGTAAGGACCGTGAAGTTTTATCGATAATTCCAAAGGAGATACCATCAAAGGTCACCTGGTGTGAAACGCACTCAATGGATGAGCTTAGGTCATGAAGAACTGTGAAAACTCCCCGCACTGAAATTTGGAGGAAGGACGACTCACTAGATCGAATATATACCATGCAGGTTTTACACTGAGGAAAATTGGGTCCTACAGCACGACAGGAACCATCACCTGCTTAGTTACGTTGTGTTGAGCCGGGGGTGGCGCCAGTGAAATTTAAATGACATTCTCCAACGGAATTATGAACTTGTGATTGGTCAAAAGATATCTTCTTCTTCTTATTCTTTAGCGTTTGTCCCGCTCTGTAGCGGGGTCCGCTCTCCTGATTTTCTTACGCCATTTATCCCGGTCGAATGCCTGATCAGGGTGGGCACCAACTATCTTTAAGTCCGCGTGCAGCGTGTCAAGCCAGCGCTGCCTAGGGCGTCCTTTAGGTCGTTTGCGAGCACACAATAACGATTATTCAGTAGGGCGCAAGTGGCTCACAAAAGAATTTAGGCGTGAGGTTCAGTGCATTGCAATAGTCGACCACGGACTCGCACCATATTCGACGCGCGTTACCTGAAAAAAGCGGTCGTAGCCGATTTGCCGACATATGCTTTGAGCTGCTGTAACAGAAGCGTGAACTATTTCAGGGTATAATGCACTGCAGGAAGTCGAACTAAACTATTGTTGGGAAAAAGCAGACCTTTTTCTGTCAAAAAAAATTGAAATTCTCATTAAGCTGAGAGGAAGAAGGGCAGTTTTCGTTCTGCCGTTCAGAAACTAAGGTTTCCATGATTTTTTTTCCTGTGCTATAGTCTAATCTTATTCCACTGGTAATCAGAGCCCCAATCGTCCTTGTAACCAGAAGTTCGAATGCGGGGAAGTTGAAATCAGGCTCAACTATTGTTGCTGGAAACGCGAAAACCATAAAAGGCACTATTCAACTATTACTACCCCAAAAAGACAAAAATTTTCTTTTGGTGAAACCTCGCCCACAGAGATAGTTCAGTGTCCTAATCACGAATATAGCACTCGTTTTGGGCGCTGGCGCCCAACTGGCGCCAGTTTGGTACCGCCACCTATCCTACCAAATTTGCATGGTATGGGACATTCACTCCAGCGTCATTTAACACTTTCTAGGGCTGAGCGTGTGAGAAAGAGTGTTTTCCTTAGGTCAGGCCAGCCATACCAGAGCGCAGACAATCACAGCGTCTTCCATCAGCGCCAGCGCCAAAAATGAATGTGATATATGCAATCAAGATGTTAAATGGTCTTCGTATACAAGTTTTCAGCGGATTTAGTGACCTAGGGTATTTTGGCGCTGGCGCTGAAATACCCTAGGTCAGGCCAAGTGGGTGTGATGTTCGTGTTCAGGAGGTCGAATTACCTCTAGAATCCAACTCTCAGCCAAATCTGCCCACGTAGAAAATAAGTTGATTAAGATCCGGCCTGTTCTTGGAAAATTGGGTTTGTTTTCCAGGTAGAGCGCGTCGAATATGGTGTGAGTCCGCAGCCGACTATCGCAATGCATTCAACCTCACGCCTAAATTCTTTTGTGAGCCACTTGCGCCCTACTGAAAAATCGTTATTGTTTGAGCACCTCAAGCTGGAGAGCAGTCTTACGGACGGTGTCCGCCTTCGCGCGAAGTACGTGGCCATACCATCGGAGACGAGATTCTCGCATTTTATCAACTATGGAAGCTACGCCGAATTTCTTGCGTATGTCATCGTTGCAAATCCGATCCATACGCGTGACACCGGCCGTCCAGCGAAGCATTTTCATCTCCATCACACTAAGGCGGGCTTCGACTTCTTTGGTTGCAGGCCAGCATTCAGCCCCGTACAACGCTACTGGTCTGACCACATTTCTATAAATCTTCGATTTGAGGCGCTCAGGTATGGTCTTGTCGCAGAGAACTCCAGTCATCGAGCGCCATTTCGCCCATGCTGCACTCACACGAGAGTTCACCTCTGAGGTCAGACTGCCATCGGACACAATTTCTGATCCAAGATACTTGAAGGCTCTTGTGCGTGTGAGCTCGATGCCACTGATCTTAATGGAATCGGACTCATTTGTATCGGTCGTCAAGTACTCGGTTTTCTTGATGTTCAACTTCAGTCCGAACTTTGTCAGGCGATCAGACCAAGCTTGCACCTGCTGCTCGAGTTCGCTCTTATCTTCACTGGCCAGCACCACATCATCTGCGTAGAGAAGGTCCACGGACTCGGTTTCTGAATATCTCGCGAGATTGCACCTAAGACGACCACGAAAAGGAGTGGGAGAGTGCTGAGCCGATTGGTCAAAAGACATATTTTTACGTAAAGGACGCCATGGAACCAAAATGAGGGGCTCAATCTCTCATGGCAAGGTAGTACGTGATCCAGTATGGAGAAAAAAGCAGAGAAAACCGGGAAGACATTAGACGTGGAAACACGACGTTTTCGTAGCGAGCGGGCGAAGCAGTGGCAATGTCGGACTTTTCTCATGTATTTCTGAGCTACAAAATTAGTACAACATCCATCCTTGCAGGGAGACCTACCATATCCAATGAAGGAAGCCTGAACATCAAACGAACTTCTCTTTCAAGATACATTCACGACGGCCATGGAATGTGGAAACCAAATACGGATATCTAGATGCGTTGAAAGTCCAAAGAGACGATAAATTGTGGGTCCCAATCAGACGGAATGAACGCGTCACAACTGCTTCGATCGTTGCCTCATGGCTACCGCAGGAACCTCGTCACTCACGTCGAGCCTCGAAGGCGGGATTACCTCTACGATTGCGCACTGGATAAATCGTACAAGGGAGGGACTCCCCCTGTCAAGTAACCGCGGAATGTGGACTGGGCCAGATAGGCAACGCGCAAAACTACATTGGTTTCGATTCTCTCAAGAAAGCAACCACGCCGAGCTCAACAAAGCTTGTAGCCAATAAAAAACCTGCCAGCCTCAAGTAAAAACGAACTATTTCTAATGATGTAAGTTTCTCGTTATCAATATTCACGGAGTAACACCTGGAGATGATCAAATGAATAACTGGATTCCAATAGGCTTTATTTTGATGTCTATTGGTTGACAACGGCAAATGAGCTATTTGCTCTCGACTAATGAGAAGAAAACTTCCTAATCAATGAGACTATAGATAATTCTATAATAACTTTTGGGTCCTAAACTCAACATACCATCTATTCTAATAAGACAATAACAGTAAACAAAAGAAGCGGCCCAAGGGCACAGTAACGATCGACAAGTTTGCAGGGATAACAACTCTGTCACGGAAACAAGTAGTTCTAAGGAGAGCTGATCTTTGTAGATCAGCGGAAACACGCCACATGACGAGAACGGGAAAGCATTTCGAGAGCATCATGAGTCAGTAACAGAACAATCACACCGAAAATGATAACGACCCATCACAGCAGAATCGTATTACTAGAAAAAGGCACTAAGATCTACGAAACGCTTGTGTAATTCAATCTTCAATCGAAACTTCTGATAAGACTTATAAAATGGCAGTCACGTGACAACCACATTTTTAGAGTCAACACATGAAAGAATTGAAGAGATTCTGAGATTCTAATCAAGCGCCGGTTCGGATAAAGCATGAGGGGACAGAAAAAGCACACAAGCGCTCCGTAACACTCAGTGAATATTCACTTAGGACATATTTGGAAGTGCTGATGGAAGACCAAACGGCATCGTAGAATGACTATCATGCAAACCGGGCTCCGCATGACTCTTCGGAGGAGGCAAATTTCTGGGATCGTCCAGAGCCTCCGGCTGAAAAGAAAGAAGTTTACGGCATTTCAAAATATTTTTCGGGGATCGAGAACAGCGCTATGAAACTTTTCAACAGGAGACGTAAAATGGCGTGTGAATCCGATTGATTCGTGCTAAAATAAAAATAAAGAAAACTCACAGGAGGTGCTGTTGGGTCCACCATAGAGCCCATCCACCGTGTAGTTATCAGGCCTACGCCCTCAATCATTGCTAGAATCACCGCACCGAGTATAGCCGAGCCAGCCATCACTTTTGGGCCACTACGAATGGCCAGCAAAGCACCAGTCAAACCACCCGAAGCAATTGAGTTAAAAGGATCCTCCTGAAATTGGATAACACGTAATGTATAGTCTAATTCGCTGCGCCCGAAGGGTCGTGTCAGGTAGATTTATTTGGCGCGATGCCACTTCCGTTCTCCACCAGCTGTTGAAGCGAGGAAGTGACGAGAGTATATCATAACGTTCGTATCAGTCGTTCTCTACCGAATGTTGTCCATAACCGCATCAGCAGCTGGCACGGAATGGGTTTGCGGCCATGGCACGCTCACACTGCCTGACCGCCCCTTCATCCGCAGCGAACCATCCAAAGTATCACGAATGACAGCAAATTCAAAAATGAAAAAAATGACTACACACAGTAAGTTTTAGGTACATCCTAAAATGTCATATCACGTAGCATACGCCCACTGAGACTTACTCCACTGCTCCACTCTTTTCAAGCTGGTGGGGTACTTATACTCGAGTTTGTTCCCCCCTTCCTTGACCCAAGTTCTCTGAACTATTCTTGCACACTGAAGAGCAACCCAACAAACGCCTCTTTCATTATTTTCCTTACATTCCTACATTCAAGAAGAGAAGAGTAGTACTTCCAAATAGTGAAACTGGAACAGGTTCAATTTTCAACTAATGAATTTCAAGTATTATTCAAAAGAATACAACTGACAAATGAACGAGGTAACCTACAAACCCCAGGACAGCCAAAAGAAAAAAGTCGACGGAAAGGGATTAACACTGAGAACCAATTAATAATCCCAGACACGATCAGGTTCCCTTAGACCATTACTGGGATAAAACTGAAATATGATCTCAAGGTGCATACCTTTTTCCGAATAGCAACCAGTCCGCAATCTATCGTACTGAACATTCCACCCCATGCAGCAAACTGGACACCAGTAATTGTACTTCGCATCCTTACTTCCCTGAGCATTCCGATCTGCAATATTTACTGCAAAACTACTTCGATATTCACAGTATAAATAATTGTAGCTATATTGAAACAAAACGGCAAGACGTCAAAATAGGGAAAAGTTAGAAACACAGTTGGTCAGAAAGGGGGGGGGGGGGCAGTATTTCTATCCCTTCTCTCCGAAGCTGACTCAAGCTCAGTAGAGAGCATATGGCCAGTGGTACACGTAAATCGTGCGACAATACATGCTCAGCTTTCGCAGAGCAAATGCAGTCGCACTTGGACTCTCTCGAGAGTAGGGACCGCGTCAGCGCCCTTCTTGGAAGGAGCACTTCCTCCCAAGAGTGCGTTCATAGTTTTTAATGTGCGGCAGCACTTCAAGCGACCAGAAATTTACAGTATTGACACAGCGTTCCGAGAGTGCGCCAGCGTTTTGAGCGAATAGGGAACTATAGCTCGATATAACGTTCTGCACGTATGCCAGCTTTCTGCTAGTAGTTCTAAACTTTTCGCGTGTAGTCGCTGAAAACGCTGGCGCACGTCCAGAAAGTGATCGACTTTTACACTTTCCCAGCTGCTCGAAACAGTGCAATACGTCGGCAAGGCTGTCGTACGCTTGAAACGCCGAATCGAAACCTATACTTTCCTATTCGCTCAAAATGCTACCACACGTTCGAGGGGGTGTCGTACGCTCATAACGAGGACGCAAGGTCTGATTGCAGCCCTATAGAACTTGGAAAAATTTTATGCTATCCAAAACCTCCTGCATGAAGTAGTGGATGGTCATTTTCTGCAAGTTTTCTATTGTTTCTCGTGACTTTTACACAGGAGATTCAAACCAAAGGGTAAGCAGCTAGCTTATCACAGAATGCTAAGAGGGGGACAACGACAACTTCACAAGAACAGAGCAAAACATTCACGAGCTGAAAGTATGTAGTGATCCTAAAAAGCACAACATAGGTTGAGACGAGCACACTTTCAACCACTTCTGTATTCAGCTGCTCAAAATACATGAACTAACCAATTTTTGTCCTTTAGCAGCGTGCTTATAGCCAGAGAATGCCTGGAAAATTGAGCCACCCACGAGACCCATAGCGAAGGCAGATCCAAGGTCATCTCCAATTCGATAGGGGCTGAAATTGTCATACTAATGCAACCTTCTTCACAAAACTTTAAATTAAAGATAGCACTATAACAATGGTATCTCAAATGCTATGGCAAACCTGCGCACAAAGTACTAGACAGCAGCAATGCCATGTTTAGGAGCAGCTGTTGCCTCTTAAGAATTAGCTTCATGTAATCTGGCGCGGGGTGTGTCGTTTGGTACGATCATTCTGCCACTAACGAGTCAAAACATGCCAGGCAACCTGTCTTCCCCGTTAGCGCAATTCTTCGAAATTTCAAACTTGTGTATTTCCTTGAACAATAAATGACCATAGGATTTTGGCTGAGAAACATGAGCGACGAAGCCACATCTCACGTCATGCATAAGCTATCAACAGCGAAAACTTACAGGTCAGTGATTAGGACCAGGTATCTAACTTGGTAGGCACGTACCTCACTTGTAAAGACAATAAACGGCAATGTGGCGCACCAAACCTGGCGCGTTAATGAGCAGACCTCTTAATGAGCAGACTCTTAAGACGTGTCTTTAGCATGTTATGTGACGTCAATGACACATCATCTGTCCGGATACTGGGCCTCACACTAGCGAGCAGGATGGCACATTATAGCACTGTCATACCACTATTAAGGCCTTAATACTTTGCATTCAAAGTAGAAGAAAGAAACACGTGCTGGTCATGTAAAAGAATCAGCCATGTCCGAGTTTCACTATCTGATTGCTTCAATCATCGATGACCCAATTAACACGCCCCGCGTTCGTTCGATGTTCAGGCCCCTTCCTTCTATAGGTAATCCTGCCTGCAAACAAGGGGATGTACTGTTTTCTAGCTGAAAAAACGTGAGGAAAGTGCGAACCGCTCGCGAAGATAACATGGCTCCGCTCAGCAAGCACGGCAACGCTAAAAGGATTCCTGACGATGCGGTTGTTTCGCTACTAACTATGCATTTCGGATGGTGACAGTGAGCTGACAAGGAGTGAGGGCAGGCACTAAAAGCGAAAACTCGTGCGAGAACGCCCTCTCTTCATCTTATGCATGTACAAGTTCGGCTCCACATGCGGTTCCATATGGAGCAGTTCGCGCGAGCTCTTTCCACTTTTTTCTCCACTGTTAGATCACTTACTACCTTGTCATTAGTATTTGAGCAGCATATATCCTTGTTCTCCAACCCAGGTGCCTCAAAAGCGTACCCGTGGATGATAGGCATTCCAAAAGTGTATCTATAATTAGCTCAGAGTGTACCCTTCAAAAAGGTAACTAAAAGCAAATCGTTGTTCCAGTTCTTTTACATTTTTTCGGCTTGCTCAAATACAGTATGTGCAAACTAGGCAACATGAAAAAGATATCCATGATTCTTCCACTATCACTTCAAAAACGTCTGTCCCATGGCTTTTGAGCTGCAGAAAATTCTAGTGGCGGTTGGCTAGGAAAAGGAACTCCATGAGCACATCTTTGGCAAAACTGAGACTGCTGTAGTGGAGATGAGAAGTTTTAGCCAAGTCTGTTAGAAAAGAAAATGGTTGGGTGAACATCTCTACCGCGCAAAAGAGCGCAGAGCGCACTTTGGCATTTTGTTAATTCCAATCTAGCAGGAGTTAGCCTCGAAATAATACCTTCAAAGATGAATACTCAACCGCTCGTGTTTCAAGCTGAGGTGAAGATTAAAGACAAACAAAATAAACGTGAATTCAAGGCGAAGCACGTGCGTGAAGGAACTTCAAAAGCTTACCAAGGCTCACGTGTGTACTCTTCCATCTCGCACTCCTGTGTTGAACCTTGAAGTTATACGCCCTACTAAGTTGAACCCTGAAAGTTTCATTATAATGGAAAACGACAGTGCTCCGTACTGACAGAAAAACCTCTGCATTCATACACTGCCTTATGAGAGGATCGTGGAATCTACGAAACAGAGAACAGGAGCAATTTAGGACTTATTCAGTCTTTTTCGCGGAATCGCTGCAAATTATGAATGCAGCCGAGCTATTCAGTAAAATGACAAGACCTAATTCATTACCTGAATTGACAGATACACCGAGTAACTGTGAAAATAGAGATTGCAGAAAAACAACGTATGTAGACCAACGAATTCAAATGTGCGAGGAAAGTTAGAGGGGTATGAAAGCATTTTCGAGGTTACAACCTGCGATAATATGAGGAAAACATATTGTCGTTTTTTTGTACGAAATCAAACAACCAACTCGAACACAAAAATATGATGAAAAAACACGAAGTGTGTCAGTCGCTGACCACATTGGCGTCAATCTATATCGTAGGCGCCCAGTACGTGAAAAGGCGTTGGAAATTTTGAAGCATCCGGAAGAGCATCTTTCCATGATCGCCGTTGTTTCTGGGAATGTGTGAACAATGACGTCGGCTTTCAAATTTACAGTGCTTTCTGAATCCCTCTCGACTCCACGGGTTTCTGAGAATTTCCGGGACGAGTCCTCATGAATACAGCTAGGCTGCAAAGGATACTAATTGAACATAGTCACTTTGTCGACGGATGGGTGCTCACATTGTGCTACGATAGAGATTTTAGAGAGCTTTGGGTGTCTAGGGGAGACTTCCGACCGCATTTTGAAGTTTCTCTTGTTGGTTCTCAGGCGCTTCCACGTTTGCGCGCGAAAATATTTCATTCAAATCGTTCGGACTTTCATCATCGCATTTTTCCGAAGCATTTTCAATTTGTTGTTATCCTATTCGTTCCAGTTGTACTGGTATGGTTGAATTGCGGTCGAGAAGAAGAACGTCCAAAAGTGTATCTACAATGGATAATGAGCAGGTTTTGCCACGAGAAAGGTACTTTCTGGCTTTTGACAAAATTTTTACGTTGGTGATCATTTTTACTGGAATGCGAAGGAGGGGTAAAACTCTGCCATGGAAAGAAAGCAGGGAAATTTTCAAAAAAAAGCTGAAGATCATCAGACTTCTTCAGTTTCGAGCTTGCATAAATATAGGCCGCGTAAATACACTTGAAATCCTTGGGATGTCGTAGGCATGACTGCGTACATCAACCTTTAAACTTATCAATAAAAAAAAGAAAGGATCGTTCGGTTTTTGACGATTTGCGGCCTGTAGTTATCGCTAGGGATTCCGCGTATCTCGCGTAATTCATAAATGTGTAAACCTTGATTCGAAGTAAATTTTGGTCGTGTATCTCGCCATTACATTTTCCTGTCAATTGGTCATTTAGACCGAGTGCGCTCGCCGAAAACGACTCCCTGGTTAATACAGCGATTTATGACTTGCCGTCGAACTCCTCTAGTGAAAGTCCCTTGGAACTACATAAGTAAGACTTACTTTGTTTATCCCGTCATCAAATTTTCTTTCTAGTTTTTGTCTGTCTGAAAGGGTTACGCTCCGACTAAGTGCCAGCATAAGGGACCGCGGTGGCGTGTCCTTGTTTGCCCTGCCTAACTGAGCCGTGTCGACTCCGGTCGTATACCCCGGCTAACGCAAAGTGTCAGACCGCGTTCAGACTTCGCGACCATGACAGGCGATTTACTGCCAAACAGTGCACCACCGCAACGGCACATTTCAAACTGGCACTGTGTGAACGGAACCCAGTTGGAATTCTGCATTTGCGGGAGAATGCATCGCACGACCACGACCGGGACCCTCCGCTTGGCGGCGGAGGGTCCCGGTCGTGGTCGTGCGATCGCGAAGTCTGAGTCTGAGCGCGGTCTTGGACAGGGAGAAAGAGCAGGCGACGTACTGTCCCGGGATTGAATTAGCAGTTTTGGTTACCCTTTTTTCAGCATTCTTTTTCTTTTCTCTACAACCATACATGTTTGGGTGTTCGGTCATATTTCACACAATAGGATGGAGGATTCGGCCAATCCGCGGAAAAAGCAGTTGTGCTCATTGATTTCGGTAACCGTAGAGTAGCAGTAACCACAGGAAGTATTAAATCGAATCTGATCACTCAGCTTAATTTAACCCTCTGTCCGCTAGGGAGAAAAGTGGGAAAGATTGTATCACTATCGATCGTGTCCAACGATTCTAATAATTCTCCGGGTTTTGCGGTTGTTCAACGTCAGTGTGTGGGAAAGCGTTTTATTCAGGCAATCTTTGTGTGATCCTGGTTGTGAACCACCGCAAAATGCTGACCGTCCGCGGCGAAGAAGAAGCCCTTCATTCTCAGCTTCAGCGGAGAGTTCTCCGAAAAAAATGAATAGGTGACTGTCAGTCCATAATGTTTTTGTTCCGCATTAATTTAATCTGTCAAATTGCCATCTATTGAGTTAGACCATTGCCTGATCATTTCATTACAGGCGACGGTCAAAGCGATTTCGAGCGGAGTCAGATGGCGCTCTCAACTTACAGGAAGCTCTTAAGTTACCCATCATAACCAGGTCTAGTGTTACGCATGCGGATGAAGGCGATAGGCGTCGCGAACGTTCCAATGTTACGTTGGATCGGTACTCTTTCTAGTTTTCCAGCATTGTGGGCTTTTCAATATTTATCTTTTCTCAGACTTCAACTCGAAGACCGCGTCGACGTCGAAGTCAGTGTTACCCCTACCCAGACACACGTTTTGAAAGCTTCGACGAGCACAGCTCCTGCAAAAATATGTGGACAAAAGTGAGTGTATCTTTTCTCGCATAAATTATTTTGCTCAAATTTAGCGCTGAGAGTTTGTCCCTCCCTTTGCTTTTTTTCCCATTTGCATCCTATTTGTGGTGCTTGCACAATTCTTAGCGATTACGCAGTTCTCATTTGATTGGAAGTATCATTTAGGGATCCTGTTTGTGACCAATCTCCCAAGAAAGATACGCAAAGACGAAAGAAGGTTTTGCTGTCGAGGTGGTTTTTGTGTTGATACGTTTTCAAGTACCAAGTTGTTGGACCTGTTGTAACAGATACAGTGAGCGTTTTTGCTGTAATCCTCACGATGAGTCGATTTTTTTAGGTCGCCGACTAATAGGATACAAGCCGATGATAATAGCGAGACAATCACTGAAACTGTGGTCGAGGGTCAGACACACGAGCAGTGCTCTCGAATTTCTCCGAGAAGTACTTCCAGGTCAGATAGAGAAAGCTGGGAGCATTTTTGCTGTAATACTCACAATAAGCCAAATTTTTTGTTCAGGTCGCCGACAAAAGGAAGACTGGGCGGTGGCAGTGGCGGGATAATCAGTGAGACTTCAGGCGAAGGTCAGGCTCTCGAATTTCTCCCAGAAGTACTACAAGGTATGACCAGATGTTGACATACAGTTCTTTATATTTTTTACAAAAATGCAGCATGTATCTGTATGGATAGTTACAGTCCTTCTTTTCCTTTTTTTCCACTTGCGTCGGATGTAGGGCGATAGTCACTAACTGACTTTTCTATCCCGAGGATGGGATGTCCAAAAAAGTGTTCGGAAAGGCTGGTTGAGACTGTCTTTGTGCCCAAGATGACCTCAAAAGGGATTTGTTGTGCAAAGAACAATAAGAACTTCATTTTGGGGACATAGTTGGAAGGAAGAAGTTTGTGTAGAGTTCGGTAGGCAGCGTTCCAGCGCCAGCTCATTGCCTTCGAAACGTGTCATGAACGCGTGTCATCGACCGGCTGTTCTACTTTCAGTCGATGGATGAGGAATAGTTGATATTATTTGTGATTGATAAATGAAACTCTTCCAAGTCGTTTATCTCATTACCGACTTTTCGGGCCCCAAGCCCTTCTTCAAGTCTACAAGATCATACACACAACCTACACAAACATCAATCTATTGTACGTCTATGAGAATAAATTCAAAGCGGGTAAACAATCAACTAACAACTGACCGGCTTACTACGGGAGCGAAGGTCGGAGTGGTAGTGAGTACGGTAGTGTGCTGCAAGATGAAGACCTGAGACGAGAGGTGTGAGACGAAAACCGAGTGTACGCAACATTGACTCACCTCCCTAGCTACTTCCCTGGAAAATGACAACGGCTAGCTAGAAAGTTTTAATCTTGCCTGTTTGTGTCTCAAAAGTGGATGTAAAATATGAGTATAGTTTACCATCTGCGAAACCGATCCTTGTTAATTCACGTAAGGATTCTCCACGAATAGATCCTGTCTGTCCACAGAGGAAATCGAAGTCAAAAACTACTAACTGTAAGATGAGGAGGCAGTATAGAGTCAAACTGCAGTAGTTGAAGTGAAACACCGGATAAAGATTGGTCCTGGCAGTGAAGGTGGGCCCAATCTTGGAGGCCAAGGGCATTATTGAGATGGAAGTTTGGGTGGGCACGATTCTGGATGCGAAGGGCGTCGTATTTCTGACTGTTCGTGTGGTCTGCTTCTTGAGACGGAGGGCATCGTGGTCTCAGCAGTGCAATGGGCGCGAGCCGGGAATTGAAGGACGTCGTGGTCTTGACAGTGCAACGGGGCACGATCTTGGAAATGAATGGCGTAGTGCTCCTGATTAGCATGATATGAGGAAGGGTGTGTTTGCTTTTAAGGAAGATCTGCAAATAAGGTTGGAATCGCAGATATTACCTTTCACGCCAATATATTTTTCCTCCACCGTCTTCTGCTCTCTTTTTGTTATGTTTATGTTTATGCAGAATATAAGACGATGGAAAAACTTAGTTGCAGAATTTCGCCGAGGAAGCATAGTGAGAAGATGAATACAAGTAGTGAAGTTCACGCCTCGAAGCTGAACAATAATCCAGCACGAACACCACAAAGGTTTAACACACTGCTTCTAAACATTACTTTAACATTATCATCAGTCTCTCATGAAAGAAAATGCAGAAAAGTCTTCTTCTTTCGTTACTTTACTTTTCTTCGTTTTCGTTCGATATAGGTAGTATGAAAATCGTTAAGTGCACGAAGTGTTCGATTTGGCAACGAGTCTCTCAATGCTGTCCACATTATTCCATCTGTGGCAACAACCGTTCCTTTCGCTGAACAGATGGCAAAAGAAAGAGAAGCTGAAGCATTAGAAGCATCTAACGCTGTATGTGAAGGGTACGTCGCGAGTTATCAAAGCTTATAGTTGGTATTACATTCATTTTACTGTTGGCTGTTTTTTTTTGCAATCGGTACATTCATCCATTGGTTTCCTTGCGAAACTTGCAGAGCCCGGAACAGGTCAAGCTGTCATTGTTTCCTTGCTGGTGTCTGCAGTGATGTAGCGACATTGGGCATAAGCCCATCACAGGGTTGCTTTTTTGAACTTTTGAAACTACACCTACGCCATTTTGTGAAGTGTTGTGAACTTCTGCAACACTACGAATTTGTCTCCTTAGAGTCACAGTTAGTATAAGTAAAAAAAGTAAAGTGGGGGGGGGTGGCTGTGTTGCGAAGCGGGGATTGTTTTACAGGAGCGGAGTACCTCTTTTAACGAAATGTGGTAACCAGTCTTCACACGAAGTACTTGGTTCACCTACCCCTGTACTCCTCCCCTGGCCTTGTTATCCTCCCACCTTACTATGGTTTTTTCCCGCTCTCCGGAAATGCGACAGAAATGACAATGGTACCATCGCGCAGCTTTGAAAAATCCCACAGGACCTTACAGAATTGCTTTTCACCACCCACTTCTTCTCTGCAAGCGAGTTTACAATGGACGCGCTCATGTTGTCTGTCATAGAAAATCAGCCTTTGTGCGAAAGGCAATATTTCTTAAAAAGGAGATAGAAACTTCTAGGAGTAAAATAAACGACGAACACAGTGCAATCTTTCAGGTCTTTCTTTCAGGTAGTTTTTCGTGACTGATTTCTCAGTTCTTATATTGTAGGGGCGAGGAAGAGAACTACGATGGAAACATGGTACCAAAGTGCTCAAGAGTCATAATTGGCCAAAGATTCATTGCGGTGGACCGATTCTGGTGAGCGGATTTTGTGTCACCGTCATATTGTCGCATATTTTAATGAAGGATTTCCAGTCGTAAGGATGAATGCAAGTATCACTTTTTGACGCATGCCCACGTCGACCACTTCGTCAATCTTGGCGTGAGTGCGGTTTCCACAAGTTGTCGGGTTTTTTAGAAGGATTGTAAGATCAGTACAACCTCCATAAGTGATTCTCTACTGCATGAAATTACTCAATGAGAGAAATCTTTTTAGAAAACATGGAAGACTCCAATATACTGCTCAGAGTTAACAGCTAAACTTCTGCCGTTAATGATGGGGTAAGTTTCGTTCAGTTTACTGCTTCAGGGGATTTACAATTGATGCAGTACCGCGAAGGAAGGCGATTCGGGTTGTTCAGAGTCGGATCATTTCGAGGGATCAGTTGTAGGTACTCAAAGACAAATTGACACTCATTTCCGTGGAATTTAATCCTTCCCTTGTGTGGGGATAATGGGTTTCCGGCCGCAGAAGCATGCTACTTTCTTTCATCAGTAATGCGCGGAAACGGTACTGGAGACTATTGATGCCCGGTTGCCGCACGGCTAGCCCACGCTTAACCATATCCAAACGATCTACTTGTCTGCGCTCTCTCGGTGCTAATTAATTACTCGCTACAGGTGGCAGCGTTTTCGCTGTGGAACCTTGGTGTCGACGCAAGTACTGCACCTTGAGGATAGCGCAGGCGGATTGTTGAGACAATACTCGGATGCTACTACCCTACAGCCCCGTTCCAGTGCACTTTTGAGCGGAGAATGTAGCATGCTGCTGCAGCTGCGGACTCCTAAGTTTCACACATGCCGAGGACCGTTCTCACATATGTATGTACAGATTGTCTTAAGTATCCCGTTGTTGTCGTGCGCCTCACAGGAAGAGATGCTCTGGGATGGGTGAACCAGATACTCTGTATAGCGTGTCCTATTCAGAGCCTCACGAGAGTTCCCTTGTTCCGGTACACGTTGGCGCGGTCTAACAAAACGGTCTAACTTCTTCCCTTGGCCGAGTTGCGCCTTATTGTTGTAGTGCGACTTCTAACGTGGCTCACTTTGTCGCCTTCAGAAGTCGAGCGGTACCCTCGCGACTGCTGCGTCCACTCGAGATGGGAAAAACGCATTCGATCGAGCCAAACCTTGACGTTAGTTACAGCATCACAAAAGATTTAATTTTTCGTTGCCTTATGTGTACCATGGTCTGAAAGCCTCGAAAGTGCAAGCTGTATATGGGATTACATTGTAAATTTTTTGTTCAGGTTACTGTACTGGATGCCAACCACTGCTTAGGAGCTGCAATGTTTTTGTTCGAAGGTGAATTTTACGATGAGATGCTGATAGTTTGCTGAACGGGTTCATTGCAACCTTCTCTTCTTCATCTTTTTGTCATGTCAAGAAGTCCCACATGAGCGTTCATGCTCGTGCTTTTTGGTTATATTTTGCTAATCACTCCGCCGCTGCCTCTGTCGCTTCCCCAAGGCTCAAGCTCTTCTCTGTCTCAATCATTATCCTTTGCCATGCAGAAGCATCCAATAGTTCTTTCTCAAACTTATGATGCTACTTCACTTGGATAGCATTTATAACCCCAGTTACAGGTGCATCCGTTCCCGGCGGAGCAATACTGTGCACGGGAGATTTTCGGGCGGATGATCGCTTTCTTTCTCGCTTCGACAGTGATCCTTCGTTCAGAAGGCTAGCCAACGTGGGTCTTTCGATTTGTTTGATTTTTCGAACTTCGAGGTTTTTTAAGTAGTTGCTAATTTTCAGACGTATGTTTCCAAAATTTATTTTGACAACACTCACTTGAACCATAGAGAAGAGTCGTTTCCGGATAGAAAAGAAGCTGAGATAATGTGCGGTTTCCTGTCTACTTTTGTATTCCTCTAGTTCACTGCGGAACGAAGGGGCATGTCAGGACAGTATGAGCGTGCCACGGAGCCAAACCTGTTCTCTGCCACTTGTTGAAGCGGGTATGCAACAACAGCGGATAAAAAACGAGTGAAACGAACGATGTGATACAGCCTTGTCACTTGCTTACTTCAGTAACTGGTTAAGAACGGATATTTCATAGTAACAAACTCATCTCGAATGGCATACCCCTTCATCCGCAGCGAACTACACTTTGTCTATATTTTTGTGAAAGGTTTCTGAGTCAAGTTAAAACTTTCAGGTTAATGACTGAAATGGAAAAACTGCATGAATACTCGATCTTGATACCAGTGTTCAAGCTTGGACGTGAGGAAATCCTGGAGAAGCTGAGCCAATCATTTTCGGTAAATTCAATATCTGGCGTTGAATCAGATTTGTTTTTTTTTCTTTTCATAATGCTGCTTCGCTGCGTGAGTTTCGGCTCATCTGGTTCAGTGTGCTCCTTGTGCGCATTCAGATTGCTGTGATGCAAAGGCAACGTAATTATGAACTTTTTCTGTGGTCCGCTATCGGAACCATGTGCCGCAGGAACATAGGCGACAGTGCTTGCCAAAGCATCTACTGGCGCGAAACTGCGCTGTGAGAGTAGGCTCCCTTGAGAGATTGACTCGATCGGAAAGAGTGATAGTTGTTCATAGATCAGGTGGATTCTAGCGCGCTGTAGATAACCATTGTATTGGTGCTGATGTAGCATGAGTAGACTATCCATTATGTTATATGGTAAGGGGTAGATGACGTGTCGCAAATAAAACGTCTGTGACGTGATGTCTTGACGTCATCTGGCATCAACAAAATGCATATTTCTCCGTCATTATCGTGCTATTTGAAACTTCACATCACTGATCTGCTAGGTAACAAGATCGAGTCCGTTGTCTGTCTGCGTTCATACTTTGTGGTAACGTCCACCAGCGTATGCTCGTGTCCACCAGCGTCTCGTGGGGCTAGTGAAGTATAGGTATCAATTTAGCTAACACCAACGTCCACCAGCGTTTGCCGGCGTACAGTATCGTCCAGAATGGAGAGTATGTGAAGTAGGAGGGTAGCAGACAGTTGGACTATACGTCGTGAATGCGGCGTGTGCAACCGCACCGTACAACTGCTGAAGCACGAAGCAGAATTATGCAACATTGATGTACGGTGTAGGGAATTTGTACGATGTGGTTGCACAGGCCGCAATTTCACGACGCCTGATTCTGCCGTCGTGAAATTGCCTACTCCCTAATCCATACTACCAATCCTGGACGCTGCTGCACGCTGGCAAACGCTGGTGGAGCCTGCATTCACTAGATCGATACCTGTATCCTAATCGCTGGCGCTGGCATTCGCTCGCAACACTAACGTACGTTGGTGGACGCGGCCGCGAAGTAAGAACGCAGTCTCAAACGTCTCAGACGTAGATGTTCTCCTTATTCTTGGCATCATTCCTTTGTTCTCAACACGTAACGAACTTGAAGCT